ACGACAACAGTGATGCAATGATGATTTACGAAAGAGGATGATGATGATAATGACAATAACGAAGACGGTAATGATGCAATAATTGTTAGGATGATTTAGGGTGATTTTAAGATCGTGGTAGAAATGATGATGATAGTGATGATGAGTGGTTTTGGTCATGGTAGTGGTGAAGGGTGGTTGTGGTCATAGTTGCGATGATTAGGCGAAATTGCGGTGGTCTTGATGGTCGGTAGTGGCAAACATAACAGCAATGCCGTAGCCAGCTATTGGGACAGTTGGGAGAGTCCCACACAATTTTTCTAATAAAGAATGGGTCCACATTTTTAAAAATGAGTCTAAATTATGCAGTTTTATGCATAAATGAGTCCACTTTTTGAAAAATGGGTCCACGTTTCTCATATTTAGCCTAAAATGGGTAAACTTTTAAGAAATGAGTTCAGATTTTTCATATTTTTGCGTAAAATCGGTCAACATTTAAGAAAATGGGTCCACATTATTTGAATTTAGGCCTACGCGTAAAGTGGGCCCACCCTGATATTTTCCCGCACAGTCTGAAAATCCTGGCTACGGTATGCATAACAGTACTCATGACAATAATGATCATTGTGACAAATGGTGATATTGGAAAGGATAGCACGGGACGGGAAGTTTATCGAACCATGGTGGGTTTTTAATCTGTCCCAATTAGTCATCCTGGCAGATAATACGTGACCGGCGAACAATTAACTCAAAACGTATTCCATTTTTGGTCACCGATGAAAAATACTGACACCGGATATTACCATCATTAACTGAATAGGGAGACTACCTGATTGTTAAGATGCTCCAAAAATAATTTGGTGTCATAAGTTGAAATGCAGAAACGGTATAGAATTAGTTCCTCGACTGGAAGCAACACCCAGCCTCAGCTAGCCTCTGAATGACTCGTTAACCGTATATATTCACATTTCAATAATTTAATACGAACTGCAACAGTCGTCAATCATGATGAATCTAGGCTTATATGAATCTCTAAATCTAAATTTTATTTATGAGGATTAGTTAATAAGTTTTTATCGTGAGTGTGGGGGTTAGGGATGGGGTATCAGAATGTAAAGACGACATGTAGGCCAACTTGTCCGAGTCTGTCATCAGAGATCTACATCATAACATTCCAATATCCTTGTGATATTTTAGGCCTACTTACGGTACTGATGGTGGGTGTGATAGAACAATAATATTAATAATAATAGCTATTAAATATTAATAATAAACGAAATGCAATTATTATAAAGATAAAATAGGAATATATCAATCAAATCTAATTTTGAATTATGGTAATTAGATCAAAATTAATTATAATACGTCATAGTGGTAATTTAGAACGTGAATAATCCTGCTTAATTCACTCTGTCTTTCATCGTTTGGGAATCTATTCAGCGGCAACATATGCTAGTTTTATTGTGTGAAATATGAATTTTATGTATACAAAATTGTTTGCATTTATAAATATATTGCCGCAAATATACTAGTAATCACAACCGATTAAAGAAAAACCATGCATGAGATTGAAAGGGAAAAATCGTGAATAATTTTAACAGATGTGTATGTGCGTACTAAGTACAACAAACCTAACGCTAACCTACTCCAATACAGCGAAAATGTTTTAATCAAGAACATGCGCACAGTATTATGCGCACCTCATTAGTTATATAATGTTAGATGGTCATAACAATATTGCGTAATATACACATACATGGGCTATAGGCCTATACGATAGGCCTATCGACATGACGGTGCCCACCCTCTGCATTCCGCCAACATCATGCATACCATTTTGCGTATGGTAGACCTACACAGATGATATATATTGACAATTCATAATTTTATTTCACTCAGAGACTGATAGGCCTGTATACATATGTATATGTAGAGTATTTAATATATTTATATAGTGCATATATAAAATATATTGATAGTATATATATATTCCGTATTATGCTTATATATTCTCTATTATGTTGGATATATTTATATTTATTTATAACACTCAGTACTATATGGCCTATATCAATACAAATAAACATATGTTTGCACATACAATTATGGGCCAATTTGCATTCTTATATGCCTATATACACACACACGCACGCACGCACACCTCCCCACACACACACACATATATATATATATAAATTAAAATATGAAAAAAATAAACACTCTAAATCGTCTTGCGATTAAGCTTTAAATATATATAATTAATTTTGTAAACGT